GTGTGTGTGTGTGTGTGTGTGTGTGTGTGTGTGTGTCTTCTTCCAGCTGCCGAGCCAATTTCAATTCACAGCAAGCCCGTAAGACCAGAGTGAATCAACAGAAGTGGGCGGCCAGATCTCTTGCCCCCAGAGCAGTGGGTGTGTTCAAACCAGCAACCTTTGGGTTGGCAGCCGAGTGCTTTCACCACTGCACCACCAGGCCTCCTCAATATACATATTACCTATCGCTAGGTCTATCATTAGTCTTCACAAGTACGTAACCCCCGAAACAAACACACTCGCTGTCATCCGGTCATGCGGACTCACGGCGACCCTGGAGGGGAGGGTGGAGCTGCCCATGAGTCTCCGAGAGTGTAACTCATTACGGGAGTAGAGAAAGCCCTGTCTTTGTCCCACGGAGCCGCGTGTGGTTTGTGTACAGGTGACCTTGTGGTTCGCAGCCGAACGCGTCACCGTCACCACTACGCCAGGAGAAGAATGAACTCAAGTCCCTTTCATTCACTTAGTAGGGTCTGTCGGCCCCATTATATGTACCCATTGGAAAATACATTCTCTCTCGCAGTCCTGACGTGGGATGAAGAGCCCCTGTGCCCTGCTGTCTGTCTGTCTGCCTGCCTCTTTTATTTTCCACAGTCACAGAGTCGTTCCTGAGAACCCATTCGTGTGGGTCCCCTCGCACGCCAAGAGTCAGTGTTTCGTTCTGTGGAACATGGGGTCCTTATGGGTTGGAACCAGCTCAACGGCACCCAACATCCACCAAAATCTAGATGTCTTCCTTCTGTCCTGTGCTCTCTGTAGACACGGATGCTGTTTTCATTTCAACACTAAGAAAGCTTTTAATTATAGTTCCACGGTACTTTGGGGGGAGGAAGAAACGTAACAAATAATTACAACAGTCATTTAATAAAATATATAGCCCTGTGATTAGAGAAGATTGAGAAATACATTATCTGTGGTAGTTATATAATCTGGTGTAAATTTGGAACTTGAGAGGATTAAGAGTGAAGGAGTGGAGTCTAGTCTGTCAATCGGGTCATAGTCAATGAGGCTTCTGTGTGGGCATGGCCTTTCCCTGAGGATTCTGGGAATACCTGTATTTTCTCCCTGGAGGGGGGAGACACTCTCTCTGGACTCACTCCCTGAGAGACACTCTACTGACAACACACATGGCACTACGCTGATAGACCCTGTGCCCTTGGAACTGCAGGAGTCACGTGGAGACCCTGCCAGTGCTGAGATGCTTCTACCACCACTGGATCCACAAGACTTTGCACCCACTGCCCTGTGATCTGCCTACATTCCGTGTCATTGCATGTGTTTCGTGAGTCTGAATAGGACTTGATAGATCGGTATCGGACATGTGGGCTAATATCCGATTATGGACTTGATCTGGACTGGGCTGGGATGATTTCTCAATATTCAACAGCTCTTGTATATAAAGCTCTTTCTTATACACATATGAGTATGCTTATGAATTTGTTTCTCTAATCTACCTGAACTAGCATAATATCTACAATAGCTCTAAAGGTAACCAAATTCAATCCAGGAAAAAAATCACTAATGTTTTTTGTAAGTTGCCTATTTCATGAGCTAACATGGGTTTAAGGTAGGCAAGGGTTTCGTACATTACGTAAAGCCTACAAACAATTCCCTCAGTAGGTACTTCGCGTACTCAGCACCTTTAGAGGGAGAAAGCCGTCACCCGGGCAGTAAATACAATACCTCTATGAGGAGCACAGCCCCCTATGCAGAGCCAACCTCAGGGGAACTGTTTTCTTAGGTAGCTAGACTTAGGGACAGGGAGGTGTCCCTCCCATGCCTGCAAAGGCCCCCATAGAGGAGGTTGGAAAGAAATCAGGCAACCATTGAACACCTATGAGAAACTCAAACTGACCATGGGCAGACCAGGACCCCCTAGTCCCAGGTAAAACCAATACCATGGGCACACCCACCTTAGGTACATCACAGGTGGGCCTAACTCAGCCAATGGGGTCAAATAATACCTTCAACCATGCCTCCCAGCCAGAGGTGTTAAAAGCCGGCTGCAGGAAAGACAATCTCTCTCTTTTGCTCTGGTCTTGTGGCAAGTCAAAGGGATGGGGGGCTGCATATGTACTTGGGCCTACTTGGGGCCCACGTGCACTTGGGCTCCTAAGCTCTTGCTCTCTTGCTCACTTGCCCTCTTGGTCTCCTAACCTCTTGGTCCCAGGGATTCCCCAGTTCCATGGGGTTCTCTGTGCCCGGTTGTGAACCCCAGTGCGGCTTCAGCGGGGGCTCAGCAAGGCTTCGCACGCTTTCGAGACATAGCGTGTTTTCCACGCCTTCATAAAAACTCACTCGAATGGTAAAACATGCTTCCGCGTGAATTCTTTCAGCGTGCAAACCAAAAACCGAGGTACCACCCCCTCCAGCAGCCTCACGTTACTACTATCGCTGGGCCGTGGACAGCTGTGTAATGACTGTGTGAGTCAGAGCGCCCTCCGCCACCAGGCTCTATGTGCCGGCACTAAGGACGCTCTGGAGATGCAAACAGAATTCCCGCAAAGTCAGCAGCCAACAACCGCTTGAGCTAAGGAATGGCGAAACAGCGGGTAAGTGAACGGAGTAGTGAGCTAGAGCGCTCACTCAGCTCAACGATGCAGAATCCACGATAATATGTGCGGCCATCCAAGTAAGCCAAACGCTTCAGCCTATTCTACAATTAACAATGTATGATATATATTTATTTTTTAAATGTTTTGAAAGTCTCCCGCAGCAAACTTCGGTTTGCAGTAGGCAGCCAAACTGCTTGTTTAGACTACGTGCCATACATACTCGAGTGTAAGCCGACCCGAGTATCAGCCGAGGCCCCTAATTTTACCACAAAAACTTCATTAAAAATGTGCTGAAAAACTCGGCTTATGCAGGAGTATACGCGGTACTTTTACAAATAGCCGCAAGAGGGCAGTCATTTCCCAGGAATGAGCTCACTCAGCAGCCACCGTAGAGAAGGGGTCTTGCCATCTGTGAGTTAGGTCCCCATTACACACACAGTTTGAGAACACCCATGGTACAGTCGGTCACGTCACCAAATCTTTTGGGATTCCACGAGAATGACAGACGATCATGATGCTCACATGGCTACAGTGTACAACAGGCTTGCGTTTATATCGAGAAAAGCTGTCCCGATTCCATTTGTGAGGAAGTCGAGCAGATGACTAAGAAGCCGCTTGTGGCACAGAACGCTGCAGAAATAAAAATGCACACACAAGAGGAGGGTGTGCAGATGATGGTGGACAACTGAATCCATTCTCTTTGGGACCCTAGGGTATCTGAGGGCATCAATCATTTTGGAAGGAGACAGCCTCATCTTTCTCCCTCGGAGTGGCTGGTGGTTTCAAGCAGATGACCTTGTGCTTGGCAGCCCACTGCGTAACCACTATGCCAGCCGGGCTCCTTACAGTAAACAGGGGAGCACGGCATTTTCTATTCCCGCCGTTGGGATTTCAGCACGAGCCGCCGCCCTGCCGCGCGTGCGCTTACCCTGCCAGCTGTCGTTGCACACACACAGCTTCTCGCCGGTGAGGTCGCAGTGCCCATGGTCGGGGCTGCCACAGTTGGCTCTGCAGTAAGGGATGGCACAGGCCTCCCCCTTCCAGTACTTGTCACACTCGCAGTAGACCTGGCTGGGGGCCGAGACGCTCGGCGTGCACTTCCCGTGGCCTGAGCAGTTGTTAGGACAAGAATTGATTCTGGAAAATACAAGTCAGACACGTTCAAATGTGAGGGAGTGGACACAGTTTCCCGTCTGGCATTCTGGACGCTGCCTGACGGGGGTGTTGCGTCTTGTGTGCGCCCTAAGCACGCACTTCAATGCCTCCTCCTGGGCTCCGCACCCCTTAGCGCGAGGCCGTGAGCCCGGCTTGGCCACTGCCCTTCCTTCAACAACGGGGTGCCTTTGCCACCGGGGCTCCTCCCTTGCTAAGTGACACCCTCTGGGGCCACTACAGGGCCTTGGGCAGCATTTCTAATATATATTTTATAGAAAGAAAATTAGAGCCCCGGGTACCTGAGACACTGTGAAAAGCGGAGCTATCACCCAGTTTCCCAGTACAGTGATTGCTGAGAAAGCCGACAGCGGTGGAAGGTGGCAGCCCACTGGGTGTGTGTGAGCCGGGGGTCTGGGCAGACGGTGACACCGAGTACCCTGTCGGAGGTGGGACATCAGCAAGGCTGCCCACTGGTTGCAGCTCTCGCCCTCAGAAAACCAAACTCCCTGCCACAGAGTCCATGCCAACTCACAGAGACCATGCCAACTCACAGAGACCCTAAAGGACCGGGTAGAACTGCCCCTGTGAGTTTCTGAAGCCGCAACTCTTTATGGGAGTAGAAAGCCCCGTCTTTCTCCCCAGGATCGGCTGGAGGTTTTGAACTGCTGATCTTGCGGATCTCAGCCCAGTGTGTAACCACTATGCTACCAGAGCTTCTTACCAGCTCTCAAAGGCTCCAAAAAAAAAAAACCCCTCAGGGCCATAAAGCAGACTCCGACATATATTGGTCCCTATAGGACAGGGGATCGCTTCCCTGAGAGTTTCTGAGTCTGTAACTCTTTACAGGGGCTGACAGCCTCATCTTTCTCCCACAGAGCGGCTGGTGGATCTGAACTGCTGACATTGCAGTGAGCAGCCCAATAGGTAACCCACTACACCACCAGGGTTCCCTCACAGGCTCACAAGAATAGCATACGATGTGGTTATGCTATTTAATGGGGAAGCACAGGAGAAAGATGGGGCTTCATACTCTCCGTAGCACCTACCCACAACAAGCCACCCATCGCTTCTCCCCCCACCCGCCTCCACCCCGCAACCCTTGCCATCAAAATGTGTTTCTTTTGTCTTGGTTTTTCCTTTATAACCATGGTCTCACGCACGATCTGTCCTTTGGGGATTGTCTAATTACAACCAACCTAAGTTCCTCCAGCTGCAATCACATCACAATCATCATTACACTGCAGTGATGTGTACCGTCCATTGTGGGTAGGATCCCAAAACTTTAACCATTCTTCCACTGATGGGCAATTAGATCGTTTCCATCTTACACCTGTGACCAGTGCTGAGGGGAACATGGGTGTGCATGGGTCTGTTGCCTGCATGCTAGCTGATCTCTGCACACTATCTGTTCTCTGCATTTGTCTGTTCGGACCTGTGCTCTTACTTCTTTAGCGTATCTACCCAGCTGTTTCTATTCCCCGATTTGTAAGGAAGGGCAACCCCGTTTTCCAGGGCTTGCCCGGCTTCCCAATGCCACCGGCAGTGGGTGAGGGTCCCGGTCTCTCCAGACCCCCACCAGCAGCGGTCACTTCCTGCCTTTTGGAACTTTGCTATCAATGCTGGTGCAAGGAGGCTGCTCGTGGGTGTGTTTGATGTACTGATCTTGCAAGCCTCGATTTCTTCCTGTGTGCAAAGAGGGGCCCTGTGTATAAGGCACTCAATACAGTCCCTGTCGACCCACGAGGCCGTGGAACACTGTAAGACCCTTCAGGGCTCGCTGCATCCCACACGGCTGCGGACATGGATTCAGTCAGATAGACCCATTTGTTTTACTTTGCTTAATGCTTTGCCAATGAACAGCTTTAAATTGTTAATAATTTTCAAGCCAAACTGAATGTCCTGAGAAATTCTCCTCGCGTTGTTGCCCTGCACGCCCCGTAGGAAGGGATCCTATAAGATTTGATCTTCACTACCCAGCCTGCCTCGTACATGAAATAGTTGTAAAAACCAAAGAGCAAACTCGTGTAGGTCAAGAGAATGCTTGCAAGTCAAGAGTTGAAAAGAAAAAAAAAATACTTACGAATAAAAAATATTGAAACCAGTGAGATTATATGCAGCATCGCTGAAAAAATGTAGCAGGGCATAGCCAGATGTTGTGACGACTTCAGGGACGGTCTCGTTTCCCCTGACCTCAGGGACAATCAAGCCACTAGAAGAAGGCAAAATCGACCGTGGTGCATATTAGCATTCCCAAGACAGGTGCTCACGGGACGTCTGCTCAAAGGTACTCTTGTCACAATCACTAAGCACCTACCTCAGCAGTTCTCAACCTGTGGGTCGCGACCCCTTTGGGGGTTGAACAACCCTTTCACAGGGGTCGCCCGATTCATAACAGTAGCAAAATGACAGGGATGAAGTAGGAATGAAAATCATTTTATGGTTGGGTCACCACCACATGAGGAACTGTATTCAAGGGTCCTGGCATGAGGAAGGTTGAGAACCACTGACCTGGGCACTAGGATGGGCAACTAACCCCAAGCCAACCCCACTGCCATCGAATCGACTCCCATGCATGGTGACCCCATGATGCGCTTCCAAGGCTGTGAAACTGGAAGGGAGCAGCCAGCCTCCTCTTTCTCCCAGGTAGCAACTCATGAATTTGAACAACTAACCTTGAGGTTGGCTACTCCATGTGTTACCCAGACAGAGAGGAAATCTAAATGAGTCCATCTCTCCCCCAGTTTGTTCTGCAAGTACTCAAAGATCTCCTTGCAGGCCTCCTTAACCCTTTATCTTTTCTTCTGTCTGGATGCACTGCGATGTGACATCTCTCTTGTCATGCTACCAATCCCGTCACACTCTCACCTGATGGCAACAAGAGGCCTTATAGCCTTACTCTCTCTCACCGGTTTCGAATGCTGGTGAACCTGGAAGGTTCACACCACACCGTCTAAGGGATTGATTGCCAGGCAGGCTAGTGAGAGTTGATCCAGGTCTTTCAAGGATTTTAAGGTATATAAGTTTTATGCTCTTGATAATTTGTCTACCCACATAATATTACTATGGAATTATTCTAAGACAGAACCTTGCTCACATCGGCAAGAGGATGAAACAAGTGAACAAAAAGAGAACTCGCAGTTGGTCCTTCCTGCTTCTCCTTTTCGAAGCCTACGTGTCGGGGCAAAGGCCACCTGGTGGGGCAGTGGATTATGCCTTGAACTGCTAGCCAGAAGGTCAGCAGTTTAAACCCACCAGCCCCTTCGAGGGGGCAAGACAAGGCTGTGTACACCTGTAAGTCACGCTGTCAAGTCTCAAGAACAACAACAACAAAGACTTAAAATCTCAGCAACCCAAAGGGCCATTCAACCCTGTCAGATAGGGTCGTTGTGCGCTGGAGTCAACTTGATGGTAATGGGTTTGGTTTGGGGTGAAGGGTGCAGAGGGAGAGGGAATGCATGCCCCCCAAAAAACAAACAAACAAACAAACAAAACAAACATCTCTTTATCTGGAAAACAGGCACTATAAGAAAGAAAATAAACAGATATCAACACAGATAACTCGAAATAGTCACTTCCTTTAGCTATAGTTTGAACGGAGGCCGAGGCGCCACTAAAAGCTCGATTCGCTCGTTCGAATCATGTTTGATGGAACAAAATAAAACATTACCGCCTATGCATTTTGAAATAGCTCCTCAAAAGCAAACAAATTAAAAAGTAATCAACTCTTAATTGCATGCCTTAGTAACTATTACATCTACTATGTTATGTTTGTGAGGAAAGAAGCTATTTTAAAAGGAGACTTTCCGGAGAACTACAGAATTCCAATTCTCGAATGCCAATCAGAATGATGGGGACATATTTCCCACTGTCACGAGACCCCATCAAAAGGAGCACATGGCTAAAAGCATTCCCAGGCCTCGGTGACAGGCGCAGCTAGTTCCACGCTGGGATCACCATGGCACTGCGAGGCGGAGCTGTTCTCTTGCACTAAAATGCAACAAATGGAAGACAGTTTCCACTTCTTACAAAACACATCCGGTAATCTGGACCAAC